ACATGGGGAAGAGTGACACCGGGTCAGAGCACGGCTTCTCGCAGGTAGTCGCCTTAGCCGCGTGGGTTAAGGCGTCGAATCCCAACCCAGAGGTTCGGGGTTCAAATCCCGGTAAGGTAAGGTACAACTTTGAAATTAATTGCGTGCCATGTGTGGGCAATGTCTAGAATGAGACAACCAGCAGGGAAAATTTTTTTTTTTTTCATATCAGAATGTTTGAACATAAACATATTTTTTAGCCCGCCCTTCTGCTTTGAAAAAGCTATCCAGCGAAGGTCCACTTCTAGAGAACGAAACGCCTACGGCAAATCCTGGCAACCACCCCTAAGAGTGTGAATGGGGGTATCAAAGGTTCAAAAATTCTTCCAAAAAGGAAATTTTTTATGTTCACCTATGGGGTAACTCGTCAAAGTAGAGCTCCTTTTGGACGAAAATTTCGTCCATTTTGCTCTATCTCTAACCGTTTAGGCGCTAGAGGGTCTTTTTTGACAAAAATAAGCTAAAAATTGCCATAGTGAACAATAAGTTGTAGTAAAAGGCCTAAAAACCGCAAAATAGAAAGGAAAATCCCCCCCCCCCCCCCAAAAAAAAAACGTTTATTAAGCAGAAGGGTGGGTTGTAGTCACGGTGCTTCACCGTGACATCCCTTTCTCGTGTTTATGGGGGCAAACTCAAAGACGACGGGTTTAAGCGGGCCGAAGGCCCGCTACATCATTCGATCATGTTCTTCAGCAAATCGCGTGACAGAAATGGTCGGGCCGTAGGCCCGACCATCGCCGCCGGCAGGCCAAGCAGGCCCGGCCCCTGCCGAACGGAGTTGCCGGCGGAGCGAAGCGGAGCTGGCAACTTATCGTTTGGCGGAAGGGCGGGCCTGCTTGTTTCTGTATCGATGGATACAAATTTCTGTATCCGTATTACAGATTTGTTATTGTATCCGAAAGAATACAATTTTTTGTATCACGGATGCTGAAAAAACTGCATATCCAAATTACAGATTTTTGTATTAATTTTTTTTAGAGTGTAGCTTTTATCTGCACCCTAGG